TTCCCCCAAACAAATCAAGCTGCCAAGCAAGAGAATCAGCTTCACGTTTCAAGATTATGTGAATCTGCCACAGCTGCGACTCTTATAAAACTAGAAATATTCTGAGTGAAGAGCTAGATATCAATGAACAATAATTCTACAATAGACCTATCCCATAGGCTATCAACGAGGGAAGCTCTTTTTAAAACAGCTTATCAAATGCCATCTATCAAACAGTATAACCCATTTCTTGCTTCCAAAAGTAAAGACTAGAAGTATACAGACATGGCCTTTACATAAGTATAAAATCTCCTCCCTTAAAAAACTTAACAGTTGAGCCAGGGAGATGGCTCAGCGGAATAAGCACTTCCGTGGCACACACAAGGGATGAGTTCAATCTCTGGTTCTGCAAAAAAAAGAAAAGAAAAGAAACTAACAGTTGAATGGGAAACACAGAAACAGATTACGGGGTGATCTATGCTGTAATAGGGCATGAACAGAGGGCAACTGGGGAGTGCAGAGGACAGGGCGCAGGAGAGTCAACAAAGGCTTGCAAAAGGGCAGGGACAAGCCTGCGGAGTTCTACATATTAAAAATGAATGTTAGGGCCAGGGATGTAGCTCAGCGGTACGGGTCTGCCTGGCAAGTGCAAGGAAGGTCCCAGCACCAAAAAAAAAAAAAAAAAAGAAAACCCACACACACACAAATGACTGTTGCCATTTTCTGAAGGAAGAAATAAATGAAAAAGGGAAATGAATGGGGATCGATGCAGAAGAAGCTATGTAACACGTTTCCACATTCATCTGAAATTAACCTCCCATTGCCTCCCGTCTCTCTTCACTCTCAAACCAAAAATAAACTAGCTTTGACAAGCTCTATAAATCAAAAGATGCAGCTTCAGAGAGTGTGGGGGAAAGCTGCAAGAGGGTACATTCTAAGCCGGGCTGAAATGGTGAACTAGCAGACTCTATCAAAACAAAGACTGGGGCCAGGGATGTAGCTCAGTGGCACAGCACCTGCCTGGCAAGTGGGAGGCCCTGAGTTCAATTCTGGTACAAAAAGAAAAAACCCAAAGACGGGCATAACAGATGCCCTCAAGCACCTCAGTATCTGGCTTGTGCTAAGGGCCTTACCTATTTCTAGCAGAGGGAAAAGCAGAAGTTAAGAACTCATAGTGAGGGGCCGGGGAGATGGTTCAGTGGAATAAGCGCTTCCCTGGCAAGGGTTAAGGGCATGAGTTCAATCCCTGGTTCCGCCAAAAAAAAAAAAAAAAGAACTCGTAGTGCAACAGAATAATAGGTTAAATTAAGACTTCATTAGAAGTACAGACCCATCCAGGCGGTGCCATTCATTTCCCCAAGAACACCCTCTCCTACTTTCCAGGGGATAAGCAATTTTATTAAATCACAAGTAAAATAAGTTATTTTCATTTCACACCTACATTTTCTCCTTGTACATAAGGGGTTAACAAGAGTCGTTAAGTGGCACCTTAATCCAGCATGCAATCTTAACTGTTAATCAAAGTCACAAACTAAGTCTGAAGAAAGTTTAATGGGCTTTGTGTTTCCACATTTATGTTTGTTAATTTCTATGCTGAAACTGGATCTGTTTACAGAAACAGATCTATGAAGCTTCCAAAATTGGGTCAATTCAAAATCCAATGACAATCCCTCACTGTCCAACACTCAGAAGTCAGCACAGGACACATGGACACTTGTTCTAATTCATCACTGTCCAGAAATCTCAGGCAAATATATCTTTCTATCATTTCTCTTTCAAACTTTTGAGCCTATTACCACCTTTTTTAAGAATCACCAATTTGGGGGTAAAAGACATAGCTTAGCAGCTCAAGTGCCGGCTTGGCAAGCAAAAGGTCCTGAGTTTGATTCCTGATTAAAAAAAAAAAAAAAAAAAATCACAAATTCAGTACCAAACTATATAAAAAGGAAAAACAAATTCAGTACTGCATTAATTTACACATAAATTTTAAAAAAATTAAACCACCCCTCTAAGCACCTAACAGGACCCACATGGAAATCAATGATGCTGTTTACATTTAGCCAGATAATGACCCAGATCTTTATAGACCACTGAAAGAAAATGTCTGCAGTATCCCAAAGTATATTACTATTCCAATAATAAGAAGCTGAAGGTGTTGTAAGTGTGGACAGCGGGGCTTCAGGAGAGCAACAACTTAGTCAAGTGGCAATCACTTAGTCTTATAAAGATTTATACTCTTCGAAAAGTATCTGGCTTGGGAAATATGCACACATGCAACACACACAGTTCAAAGAGCCTAATAACATTTTTACCATGTGGTGCAACACAGAGGGAAGTAAGCAGTTATAAAATTGGGGGAAGAGTTTTGGTAGGGGGATAACAGGAATCAAATTCAGGGCCTTGCACTTGCCAGGCAGGCACTGCACCACTGGGCTACCTCCCCAGCCCAGGAAAATTTTTAAATAAATAAATATGAAAATATTATATATTACATATTATATATATTTTTTTATTATTTATTTATTTATATATTTTTTTGGTGGCTACCAGAAATAAAACTCGGGACCTTGTGCTTGCCAATCTATACCCTCAAGCCCAATTATTATTATTTTTTTTTTAATGAATTTAGGACAGGATCTACAGGGTAAATAGGATCTCATTATGTAGATCGGACTCAGTGATTCTCCGGTTTTCAGCCTCCCAAGCACTGGGATTACATTCTTGCACCACCACACCCGGTCTCAATCACCATCTCAGCATGCCTCAGGGGCAAGGCCAGCACAGCACACAAGGGACTGAACCCCCACCACTGTGCGCTTTAGTCCACTGAGCTGGCTGTTGGGCCCTCAAGCCCAATTATTTTTAAGGCACATTTTGCTATCTAGTTTAGGCTAGACTTGAACTCATCTTGTAGCCCAGTCTGGCACCAAACTAACAGCAGGCTGCCTCAGCCTCCTAGCAGCTGGGATTACAGGCATGCACCACCATACCTGGTTTAATCATAAATATTAAAAATTATTTTGCCTTTTTTTTAAGACTACCTATTAGTACCTATTTGAAAACATACTGATTTAGTAAGTATGTAAATCAGCATGATCTTGCCATAAAGCAATTTGCTGTTATGTATTAAGTCTTAAAAATAGCACTCTTGGGGCTGGTGAGATGGCTCAGTGGTCTAAAGCACCTACTTAGAACAAGCTTAGCAAAGCACAGGGACCACAGTTCAATCCCCCAGCACCACATGCCAGCCAGCCCCGCCCCCTGGTGGGCTGAGCTGGCCACACACACAAATAAATAAAAAATTAAAAAAAAAAAAAAAATAGCACTCTTGGGGGCTGGTGAGATGGCTCAGTGGTCTAAAGCACCTACTTAGAACAAGCTTAGCAAAGCACAGGGACCGCGGTTCAATCCCCCAGCACCACATGCCAGCCAGCCCCGCCCGCTGAGCTGCCCCCCCACAAATAAATAAATAAATAATAAAAAATAGCACTTTTAGCCAGCCATGGGAGCAGTGTCTATAATCCCAAAACTGTGGAAGGCTGGGGCAGGAGCACTGCAAGTTCTAGCCCAGCCTGGACGACTTAGCAACTTAGGGAAACCCTGTCTGAAAATAAAAAAGACAGCTAGGGATATAGTTCAGTGGAAAGGCCCTGCATTCAATCCTGAGTTACAAAAAATATTTTTTGATTAGCAACTTCACAGGGTAAATTACTATAGATGAACTATATGTCTTATTATATGGAATATCATATAGTCTTTAAATTATGCTATAGAAAAATTTAATGATATGCATAAATATAATTAAGTAAATTATAAAGTAATAAATGCTTTCAGTGTATGATTTTTTTTGTATGATTTTTTTCTGAGACAGGGTCTTACCATGTATATAGCTCAGGCTGACCTTGAACTAAGGGGGATCCTCCTGTCTCAGCCTCCCAAATGCTTAAGATTACACATATGCACCACAATGCTCAAGCAGTGTAGTTTTGGGGGTTTTTTTGTTGTTGGTGGTGGAACCGGGGATTGAACTCAGATCCTTGAGCTCGTCAGGCAAGCGGTTATTCTACTGAGCCATCTACCCGGCCCAAACAGTGTAGTTTTAAAACAAAAGTACAGATAAAAAGGTAAAGAAGGGGCCGGGGAGATGGCTCAGTAGAGTAAGCGCTTGCCTGGCAAGCACAAAGGTGTGAGTTCAATCCCCACTTCCGCCAAAAATAAATACATAAATAAATAAATAAATAGGTAAAGAAATCTATCAAAATGGTAATAATAGTTTATCTAAGAAGTAGGATAGTGGGTGATTCTATTTTCTTTTTGTTTTCCATATTATATAAATCTCCTCCCAAAATACATGCTACCTTACAAAGAAAGTGTAAAATGTTTATTAGTGCATGTTTGTGGTACACACAACAATTACACTCATAATACACAATTCTTACATCTCCTTCTCCTCTATTTCTTGGTTCTAAAATTATTTAAATACAAGATTGACATATTAATGTCCTGGGCCGGGGAGATGGCTCAGTGGAATAAGCACTTTTCTGGCAAGCTCAAGGGCCTGAGTTCAATCCCCGGTTCCGCCACAAAAAAAAGACATATTAATGTCCCTTTAGTCCTTTTTGTCATCCAGTACTGCACTGGTGTTGAATCCAGGGCCTTTGAATTGAGCTACCCCCCCACTCCTCCCAGCTTTTTTTCCAGATAGGTCTAAACTGCAGGCTCAGCTCCAGCTTGTGATCCTTCTGCCTCAGCCGCCTAGAGAGGTGGGATTACAAGCATGGGCCACTAGATATTTTGGGGCTGGGGAGATGGCTCAGTGGAATAAGTGCTTCCCTGGCAAGCACAAGGGCCTGAGTTCAATCCCTGGTTCCGCAAAAAAAAAAAAAAAAAAAAAAAAAAAAAAAAACCATGGTCCTCCAACCCAACTCCTTTATTTCTTAATATAATTCGTTGTGGAATTCATAGCTTTACCTGTGGTTTAATGGTCAGTCTGCTTACCTATAGCTGCAATATATTCTCACCTCTTCTTAAATCTGGAAGTCTAGCAGATTCCTCTTTATTAGGAACCTGAAATAAAAAAGATAAATAAAATTCAAGTTCTTTTTTTTTTTTTTTTGGCGGAACCAGGGATTGAACTCAGGCCCTTGTGCTTGCCAGGGAAGCGCTTATTCCACTGAGCCATCTCGCCAGCCCCAAAGATCAAGTTCTTTGTAGTAAAAAAAAATAATATAGGGAAGTAGGAAGGGGCCATAAATAAAAGACCAAAGGATGCTTCTGAGAGTCAAATAGCAGAGTCCTCCCAACATGACAAACTTAACAGATCATTATTGCTCCAGTGTAGAAGTGTTCTTACACTGCAGAGATAGCTCAGTGGCACAAGCACCTGCCTGGCAGATGCAAGGTCCTGAGTTTGATTCCTGGTACAAAAAAAAAAAAGAGTTCTTAGACTTTTTAAGAGTACATTTACGGGGGGGGGGGGGCGCGGGTGTCAGTTAGCTCAGTTAGCTCAGTTGTTTAAAGCACCTGCTTGGGCAAACTCAGTGAGGCACAGGGGACAGCAGTTCGATCCCCAGCTCCACAAGGTGCACCAGACCTGTCCTTAAGGCAGCCTGAGCTAGCAAGAAAAAAAAAAAAAAAAAATCCTAGAGTACATTTACTATTGTATGCTTTCTTTGTGTTACACACTCTCACTTTAATCTTTACAAAGTCTGAGGGGGTGAGGATGTAGCTCAGCAGCATGAGCACCTGCATGGAAAGTCCAAGGTCCTGAGTTTGATTCCCAGTACTCTCCCCACTGCCCCCCCCAAAAAAATCTTTTTTTTTTTTTTTTTTTTTTTGGCAGAACCAGGGATTGAACTCAGGCCCTTGCGCTTGCCAGGGAAGTGCTTATTCCACTGAGCCATCTCCCCGTCCCCTAAAAACAATCTTTACAAATTCTGCAATTTAGGAACACTGAATAGTAGTATATAGTTCTATTCAAACGTAGAAGCTTACAGGTAGGCTGGCTTGCTTAAAATGTAAACACTTTTACTACTACTACTTTCATTTACTAAATTTTTTCAATTTCTGCTTCCTAGATACAATTTTATATCTCTCATTAATTTTTCTTTCTTTCTTTTTTGTTTTTGGCAAAACTGGGGTTTGAACTCAGGCGCCTTGCACTTATCAGGCAAGCACTTACTCTACTGAGCCATCTCCCCAGCCCCTTAATTTTTCATTTCTTCCCTTTTTACCAAGTTCTCCTACCCAAACATAGAACCCCTTCTAATTATCTACACTTTTCTCACAGAGTACCTTGCTTGGGCTGCTGAACTCAAATATACAGTTCTACTCACAAGATCCTTGGGCTACATAATTGCACTATAGTCAGTTCTTTAATCAACTTTCATCATGCATGACCAAGTAAACTTTGTCAAAAGACATTCAAATCCCACTTTTCTTCTACATCAAGATAGAGGGAGGCTAAGACAGAGACAGAAAGAAAGACCATGAAAAGGCTGACAGAAAGAAATACATAGGGAGGGGCTGGTGAGATGGCTCAGTGGTCTAAAGCACCTACTTGGAACAAGCTTGGCAAAGCACAAGGACCACGGTTCAATCCCCCAGCACCACATGCCAGCCAGCCCTGCCCCCCAGGTGGGCTGAGCTGGCCACACACACACACACACAAATAATAATAAATAAATAATTAAAAAAAAAAGAAACACATAGGGAATGTATAACTCTGAATTGCTACTGGAACCTAAAAAAGAAATAAAGAGCCTTCCCACATAATTCTCCTAGACAAGCATCATTGCAAATATAAAAAATTAATTTTATAAAGGCTAAAATACACATATGTAAGCTTAATCACTACCACATCTTATGTAAATAATTTGAAAATTTAGACAGCATAGTGCCACATGCCTGTAATCCCAGCATTTGGCAGGTGGACCACTGAGTTCAAGATCAGCTTGAACTACATAGCAAGACCCTGGCTCAAAAGAAAAAAACTTAAACAGTGCTTCGGAGGCTGAAAAACAGGAAGGATCACTATGAGTCTGATCCGTGTAGTGAGACCCCATAGGACCTGTACTAAATATATATAAATTAAAAAAAGAAAAAAGCTTAAAGAAATTTACTAACCTACTTGAATACAAGCCAAGTTTTCATACAGGTAATTTTGTAATGCCTTCTGTCTATACAATCATCTGATTTTAGTGGGTGATTCCCATGCCCAAAGACCAATTTAGTCTAACCAAATTGCTTCTCAGGAGCCACTCATCCACTTTAGGCCTCATGGATCGCCCTCACTTCTAAACTGCCAGAACACTTACAGAACCATGTGGAGCACTCCGATCCTGTTTTGTCTTGATTTGACTATCACTTGCATCAATATTTTTGTCCCCAAGCGTAACAAAGCCTTTGAACACACTATACATATGACTGTATGCCCAGCCAATCTGACACCAACCTGAACATACACGGTCAACTAATTAAACAAGGTACCTGGAAGCCGGGAGTTGACAAGGACAACTTAATACTAAACAGACACACCCAGACCAGCCAAGAGTACTCAAGTAGGATTTGGAGGGCTGCTGACAGGTGGTATAATATACTGATGTTCTTTTTCTTTAACAGTTCCATTTTTGACATCTGAGGAGAGCAATTCAAAGGATGTCAAGACAAAGTAAGACTCAAGGAAGCAAACTCAACAGGTGAACTTGACTTCAAGTAAAATTAGGAGGTTAAATTCCTCCTCTATGCTAAGCAGGAACAGTTTGGAGAAGTCCTGGCTACTTGTACTACTAAAAAATTTTATGTGATGAAAAAAAAAAATTTATCAACAAAATTGGGAGAGTGAGGCAAGATCACAAGTCGGAGGCCAGCCTGGGTAATTCAAGTGATTGGGTGAGAAATAAAATGAAAGGGGTGGGGGGGGGATGCTCGGTGCAAAGGCTCTGGGTTCAATTGGGGGGAGAACAGGGCAAAAGCCAGGTTTGGTAGCAAATTACTAGGGAGGCTAGTCTGGCCTACAGAGCAAGACTCTTGCCTCAAAAAACAAAGGGGCCAGGGATGTAATTCGGTGGTGGCAGGGCAGCGCCTGCCTGGAAAGCGCGAAGTGAGTTCAATTCCCACAACCCTTTCAACCCTCCCCCCACTCCAGAAAAAAAAACAACAAAGGATGATAGGAGAGCAAACCAATCATGCAGTATTACAAAAGTCAGTTTTCCTTCCTCCTCCAATGCATGAATGCTCTAAATAATTTACAAAGGCAATAACCGCTAGTGACTCGATACAAAGGGAGAAAGGTAAACAAACATGGGCAACATAAAAATGATTTTTAATTCCAAATAGAAGACAATTCCAAGTAGAATTAAAGTTTCTCTGTTATGTTCTCGTACCATCTAATGTGCCTTTCTGTCTTAACACAGAAGTTTTTAAATTCACTTGTTTGTGACCACGTCCGTTTTCTGCTACTAAACGCCACACTTGGGGGCAGGGCTACGATTTCACTCATTTCTAGAAATTTATCTAGTGTGGGCTTCCGTTCTCTTTTTTGCAACGTGGGGCTAAGAATAACACCTAATTCAATGGTTTGATGCGAAAATTCTGCGGGAACGCATATGCAGACCGCTTCGTCCAGTCATGTTAGCAGGGCATAACGATGGCCGTTCCTGGGACTTTCGGCCAACGGTCTCCGGCAAATCCTTCTTTTCCCCTATTTCTTGGACAGGCATCAAGGCAAAGTTCTGTCGCGGAGACAAGGGAGACCCGAAAACCCGCGCCACCCCTGCCCCGCCCAGGCGGCACCCCAGTCCAACAACGCCTAGAGGTGCCGGATGGCGCTGTGGATTGGAAGCCTACAAAAGGACGTCTGAAAATTAGTGAGGGGGACCCCCGAGCCCCAGATGCTCCTTCTTTTCTCCCCACGGGTCAACTTACCGCGCCTCAGCTCAGCTCTGACAACGAAATGCCTCCAGCCCGCCGGCAGTACTCATTCGGTACCGTTGAAAATTTGAACCCAGGCAGCCTAGTTGAATGCACCAATCAGAACGTCAGGAATGAAAGATTCCGGCCTCTTGATTGGGTCTAGACAACGCGGCGGCGCCAGAAGTCAGGAGTCGGAACAGCGAACAAGTAGCCCAGAGGCTTCTGGGAAATGTAGTCTTCTGGTGACCTCTTTGAGACAACTTTTGCGAGGACTTTACTACAAAACCCAGAGTGCACCTCTCCCACTTAGAAAAGGAGACCCCATTTGAAGAAGAAAGTCCATTTAGCATCCTTGCCTCCCCTAAGGCATTTGGAGAAGAAAACTTTTTTTTTTTTTTAAACCGGGGATTGAACTCAGGCCCTTGTGCTTGCTTGGGAAGCACTTATTCCACTGAGCCATCTCCCCGGCCCCAAGGGAACTTTTTCATTATGAATTTTTAAATTACCTTCGCTATGTTTGCATCTTGAATGTTTTTAGGAATTCACTTCATTTGATCCGGGAGTCTCCTGTCTACTACATAGACCCGGCCCCAGCGTCCCGGCATCGTGTAAGCTCTGATCCACCCTACAGCCTCCGCCTTGGTCCACACCGGGTGGGAGGCAGCTTGTACTGGTTGTCGCCTCCACGAAGGCTCAGAAAAGTTGGGTACATTTGCCTCAAATCACATATGCAAGGAGATGCTGGGGCTATAGCTGAGTGGTGCAGCGCCTGCCAGGCAAATGGGAAGTCCTGAGTTTGATTCCTGATACCAAAAAAAGAAAAAAGTAACATAAGTGAGAAGGTGGGGTTTGAATGAGGGGTGTTTTGTTTTGTTTTGTTTTGTTTTGTTTTGTTTTGTTTTTCAGACAGGGTCCCGCTTTGTAATTCAGGCTGGCCCTGAGCTCACTATGGCCTGAATTTGTGGCAATCCTCCTGCCTCAGGCTCCGGAGTGTTCTCATTACAGGCAGCATGGGCCACCATGCTTGGCTTTTTCAAATTAAAATTTCGAGGTAATTCTAGTGAAAATCCGAATACATTTTTATCATGAACTTGCCATGTTTATTTTAAAATAAATTTACATTAAAGAGGAAAAGAAAAGCACAAGATGTGTCCCCTGAATTTTTTTTTTTTTTTTTTTTTTATTTTAGAGAAGGGCCTACAGAGTGTTCAGCGTCTCACCACTAGATCAGACTCGTAGTAGTCTGCCAGTTTATAGCCTCCCAATTGCTGGGATTACAGGTGCCTGCCACTGTGATCAGTCTCAATGAACATCTCAGTGTGCCTCGGGAACAGGGCCGCCACTACAGGCCCTGGGATCAAACCCTGGCCCCTTCGCCTGGGCGCTTTAGTCTGCTGAACTATTTGGTCTGCCTCTTGTCCTCTGAATTTTGAAAAATGATAAAGGGTGTCTAAATGTGGTTGAAGGGCCGGCTAGTTAGCTCAGCAGACTAAACTCCTGCTTTGGCAAGCACAATGTCCGGGGTTCAGTTCCTGGTCCTGCATGCTGCGCCGGCCCCGCACCTGGGGCGCGCTGAGATGACGACCTCGTCTGCATATGGTGGTGCACACCTATAATCCCAGCACTGGGGAGACTGAAAACCGGAGGATCACTATGAGTCCAAGCTGTGTAGTGAGACCCTGTATCAAATGCATTTACAGATAGATAGATGATAGATAGATAGATAGATAGATAGATGTGGTTGAGAGTACCCAAGCCCTGAAGACCTTACATAATAAATACAACCTAAGTGGAAGGTAAACTACGTGAAAAAACCTTAATTTAGGAGCAGACTGCATAATCTTTTTATTTATGGGGAAAAAAGTAAAATTCCTAACAAAATAGTAAGAGAGTGGGGCCGGGGACATAGTCCAGCAGCACAGTGCCTGCCTGCCAAGGGCAAGGGCCTGAGTAGATTCCCTGTACAAAAAAAAAAAAAAAATCGCATGCGCGCGCACACACGCACACACACGGACAATAAGAGAATAACAATACTTAGTACACCGCATATTGTTATCTTTAAAATAGCTGTTCCGAGTATAAGCTACGGGCATTGCGATTTCTCTGATGCCAGCTATGCGAGCAGGGCTTCAGCCCACTGACTGCAGGCGAATCGTGCGCTAGCCGCAGGCTGCGTGCGTGCGTTCGCTTCAGCCTGCGGTTCCCAGATGCGGGCTGAGCAGGACGCAGGCCAAGGCGCTTAGGACCTGCTCCCACCAGGGAGGCGAGGCTGGCTTGCAGAGGACTAAGTCAGCGTGTGGTTTGGTCCGCAGCACCCTTGAAAAGTAGAACGTAGAATCACCCTTTCTGATCTAAGGCCTGTCTCTGTGAAGTATTGCTCTTTTGCTCAATTAAATTCTTAAATTTGTCTAAGTTGTTTGTTTGTTTGGGGGGGTTGTGGTTTTTTAGGTACTGGAGATTAAAGGAAGGGCTCTTTGTACGGGCCAATGATAGGTTCTGGCCCTAACACGAATTGCTGAATCATCATGGTGGCCATCTACTGTGGCTGAAACCCTTGAAACAAAAGCTCATCTTCCCCAAGGCCACCTCCCCACTTCTTCTCCAAGCTAGTCCAGGATACAGCTTCCTTTCACCCTTCTCGCCGCCTCAGGAAAGACCCCAGTCAGCTCCTCAGGTGTATCTAAACAGCCCCTTCAAACTCCACCCCGGCAAGAGGCCATCAAGGCCTCGGCCTCTCTTTGATCCCGAGAGAATTCCTTATTTTCCCCACATTCTCTCCATGTCCTCAAAGAAAATAAAGTCCCTTTCCCTTCTTCCTTCTGTCTGTTTCCCTGGTGCGCTGGGCGCCTGAAAAATACCTATCAATCTGCATCTCCTGGGCTGGAGAGATGGCTCAGTGGTCTAAGGCACCTACTTGGAACAAGCTTGGCAAAGCACAGGGACCATGGTTCAATCCCCCAGCACCACATGCCAGCCAGACCCGCCCCCTGGTGGGCTGAGCTGGCCACACACACACACACACACACACACACACACACACTAAATAAATGTTAAAAAAAAAAAAAATCTGGAGGCTCTAAGAGTCGCGCTGTAAGAAGCAGCAGCCGCTCCTCCGCCCGTCCCCGTCCGCTCGGTGATCGCGACGCAGCAGCCATGCGTGAGTGCATCTCCATCCACGTTGGCCAGGCCGGTGTCTAGATTGGCAACGCCTGCTGGGAGCTCTACTGCCTGGAGCACGGCATCCAGCCCGATGGCCAGATGCCCAGTGACAAGACCATTGGGGGCGGAGACGACTCCTTCAACACCTTCTTCAGCGAGACTGGTGCTGGCAAACATGTGCCTAGGGCAGTGTTTGTAGACCTGGAACCCACAGTCATCGATGAAGTGCACACTGGTACCTACCGCCAGCTCTTCCACCCTGAGCAGCTCATCACAGGCAAGGAAGATGCTGCCAACAACTATGCCCGTGGGCACTACACCATTGGCAAGGAGATCATTGACCTCGTCTTGGACCGAATTCGGAAATTGGCTGACCAGTGCACAGGTCTGCAGGGCTTCCTGGTTTTCCACAGCTTTGGCGGGGGCACTGGCTCTGGCTTCACCTCCCTGCTGATGGTACGTCTCTCCGTTGACTACGGCAAGAAGTCCAAGCTCGAATTCTCCATTTACCCAGCCCCCCAGGTCTCCACAGCTGTAGTAGAGCCCTACAACTCCATCCTCACCACCCACACCACCCTGGAGCACTCTGATTGTGCCTTCATGGTAGACAATGAGGCCATCTATGACATCTGTCGTAGAAACCTTGATATTGAGCGCCCCACCTACACTAACCTGAATAGGTTGATAGGTCAAATTGTGTCTTCCATCACTGCTTCCCTCAGATTTGATGGAGCCCTGAATGTGGATCTGACAGAATTCCAGACCAACCTGGTGCCCTATCCCCGTATCCACTTCCCTCTGGCCACATATGCCCCCGTCATCTCTGCTGAGAAAGCCTACCATGAACTGCTTTCTGTAGCAGAGATCACCAATGCCTGCTTTGAGCCAGCCAACCAGATGGTGAAATGTGACCCTCGCCATGGTAAATACATGGCTTGCTGCCTGTTGTACCGTGGTGATGTGGTCCCCAAAGATGTCAATGCTGCCATTGCCACCATCAAAACCAAGCGTACCATCCAGTTTGTGGACTGGTGTCCCACTGGCTTCAAGGTGGGCATTAATTACCAGCCTCCCACTGTGGTGCCTGGTGGAGACCTGGCTAAGGTACAGCGGGCTGTGTGCATGCTGAGCAACACCACAGCTATCGCTGAGGCCTGGGCTCGCCTGGACCACAAGTTTGATCTGATGTACGCCAAGCGTGCCTTTGTTCACTGGTACGTGGGTGAGGGGATGGAGGAAGGGGAGTTTTCTGAGGCCCGGGAGGACATGGCTGCCCTCGAGAAGGATTATGAGGAGGTTGGTGTGGATTCTGTGGAAGGAGAAGGTGAGGAGGAAGGAGAGGAATATTAAGAATGTCACAAAGGTGCTGCTTTTACAGGGAAGCTTATTTTGTCTTAAAACACTGAAAAGTGGTCTGATCAGTTAATTCATATGTAGCAGTGTATACTCTCATTCAATTACTGACCTATGCTTTAAAACATGAATGCTTTGTCACAGACCCAAATTGTCCATTCTCTGATGAGTTTTGAATAAAAAGTGTTCCCTGCCTAAAAAAAAAAAAAAAAAAAATCTGCATCTCCAGCTCTTTTAAAAATGTTTAATTTTATGGAGCTGGGGAGATGACTCAGTGGAATAAGCGCTTCCCTGGCAAATGCAAGGGCCTGAGTTCAATCCCTGGTTCCACCAAAAAATAAATAAATACAAATGTTTAATCTTGAGACTATCATATGTCTTCACCATAGCCCACCCTATGCTGCACGGTATATAGTTTTAATCTTTTTTTTTTCTTTTTTCTACTTTTACTTGGCCCAAACTCACTTTTAGAGCTTGGTTGTTCCTATATTCATTCATTTATTTATTCATTTTGTTTTTTTGAGACAAGATCTTATTATGTAGTCCAGGCTGGCTTTGAGCT